TATATAGAAAAGTAGCAAAGCATTTTTATGATTAGCATCCATCTTTCACATCATTAAAAATAACACACTTTAGCACATAAATTCACTTTTCAGTAATCTTTCTTTTTCTGAAAGCTTTTGAGCACTTTATGCCAAATCTCTAAACGTTTTCCCCCTTTTTATAATGAGATTCCCCATTTCCATTCAGCAATGCCCATTCTGTTACCAGATGTGCTGCATTTAAAGAGAATTGCTTCGCCCCTTTTATTTAGAGTGGAGAAGGATTTGCTTATTTATCTTTAGCACTCTTGAAGCAATTTCATAAAATACTCCTTGATGATGGGCATGGGAATATTCAGATGAAGCAAAAATGGTTTGTTTTTCCTGGTTTATTTGGGAATTGCTCATGATTCTGAAGAATTCAATTCATTCTTGTTTGAGGAAAAATACCCTTTGTGTTTTTTGTGTCTTTCATATGTCAAAGAATAAAGCCCAGCTTCACAAAGAAGTAAAACATTCACTATTAAAATGCAAGTGTTGTAATAACACAGGTAGAGGGAGGGGACTAGGTGCCTTGACATCTCCTTCCTCCAGACCTTAGATCTGCTGCGATGATACCCGTTGCTCTGGCCCCATCCAGAACTAGAGGGTAGGTAAGGCACTCTGTAAAGATCAATGAGCAGGGCACAGAGTCAGGCAGAGAATAGCTAAGCACCAGCACAAATGGGTAAATTAGCAGACTAGTCAAAACTTAAAAGATAATTCGTGATTTAGAGTTAGGTCTGAAGAAATTACCCAGTAGCACAGAAAGGCAAAGATTTGAAAAATAGGAAAGATTAATTAATTGACATAAAGCTTGGAATGGACAAGTGTTTTATATTTCTAATGGGGAGTCCTAGAGGAAAGAGTACAAAAATAATGGTGGGAAGAGCAATATTAAAGAAGATGACGATAAAGATAAACACTATTCAATAATAATAGAAAACACATACATAACATTTTCTATGTGCCAGATATTGTTCACAGCACTTGACATTTTTAAATTTGAATCTGAATTTTTATTTTTTAATCCTCACCTGAGGATATTTTTTCCATTTATCATCAGATACAGTGGGAGAGAGAGACAGAGGGAAACATCAATGAGAGAGACACATTGACTGGTTGCCTCCTGCGCAACCTGACCAGGGCCAGGGACAAACTGCAACCGAGGTACCTTGACCAGAATCAAACCTGAGACTCATTGGTCCATGGGCCGACACTCTAACCACTGAGCCAAACCAGCCAGGGCACAGCATGTGACATTTTCAGTGATTCTAATCCTTGCAACTACCTTATGAGTGGGAAAATCATGAATCCATAGATACAAGAAACATAATGTTTATCAAGCAGTATAGATAAAAAATAAATTGACATTCAGTCACCTTCCAACTATAAAATACAAAATAAAAAGAGGATTAAAAAAAGCCAGAATAAAAGATAGTAACAACCATTAGACTAATAATAAAAATTTTAAGAAGAGTAAAATAATAGCTTCAATGTATAGCAAGAAAATGACTATAAACATAGAATTAGTCATTCTGAAAAGCTATTTTTAAGTATGAGGAAGTCATAGTAATACTCTAAGGTACAAACAAAATGTTTACCATGAACAGACTTTCATTAAAAAAACTTCAAAATGAATATACTTCAGGAGAAAGAACATTGATTTCAAAAAGAAGATCAAGAGACAAGCAAGAATGGTGAGCAAAATGGTAAACATTTAACTAAATTCAAGCAAATATTGTCTTTATAAAATGTTAGTAATAATATCTAACAGGATATAACAAGAATAAAATTAAAATACAAGAGCATGTAACTTGGGAGGAGGTTGACAGGAGTTAAACTGTTGAAAAAATCTCATATTATAAAAAACGAGAGCTATATATCTATATATATATATAAAGAGTGCTTTCTGTTTTGTTCATCAGTTGGGAATTTCAAAGGCAATAATTAAAAGGATTAAAATATATATTATTCCTAAGACAGTTAAAGGGAAAAGATGAAACAAGCATCAAACAAATATGGCATCTCAATCAATCTGAAAGAAAGCAAGAAAGGAAAAAATAAATAAATAAAAGTGGGACAACTAGCAAAAACAAAATGGTAATAATAAGTAAAAACTATAATACAGTTAATTCTTTTCAGTTAAAAGACAGAATGATTAATTGCATTTTTAAAAAAAAGAAACTCAGCTACACGTTGAATTTAACAGGTACACATAAAACCTAAGAAACAGCCTGACTGGTGTGGCTCAGTGGATTAAGTGTGGTCCTGCATTTGAGGTCCTGGTTTGATTCCTGGTCAGGGCACATGCCTGGGTTGCGGGCTCAATCCCCAGTAGAGAGCATGCAGGAGGCAGCCAATCAATATTTTTCTCTCTCCCTTCCTCTCTCTCTAAAAAACAAAACTAAATAGATAAATAAATAAATAGGACAGAAAAGTTGAAGTGTCATAGAAAAAGATCAATCAGGCCCTGGCCAGTTTGGCTCAGCGGTTAGAGCGTCGGCCTGCGGTCCGGAGAGACCCGGGTTCGGTTCCCGCTAAGGGCACGTACTTCGGTTGCAGTTTGTCCCCGGCCCTGGTTGGTCGTGCGGGTGGCAGCCACTCGATGTGTCCCTTCACGTCGATGTTTCTCTCTCTCTCTCTCTCCCTTCCTCTCTTTCCCTCCCACTCTATCTGTATAAAAAATGAAAAAATATCCTCGGGTGAGGATAAAAAAAAAAAAAAAAGAAAAAGATCAATCAGGAAAAAACAGTTTTGGAGGAAAGAATTTTTTTTTAAAAATGGGGTAGCTACCAAAATGACCTTAGCAAAAAACATTATTAAGAATAATGTTTTGATAAAGAAGTCAAAATATTTATTGATTTACCATTAGTTGTATATCACCTACTGCTGTAGGCTTGTAAGTATTGACTTATTTAAACTTCATTTCAATTCTATTAGCTAGGCATTATTTCTATTTCCATTTTTCAGGTGAGGAAATAAAGGAATAGAGATTAAAGAATTTATTCAAGGTCATATTGCTAGTAAGGAATAAAGTTAGGATTCAAATCCAGAAGGCAATCCGTCCCCAGACTCCATGCACTAACCACCATGTTTTGCTGCCTGTATACTAGAAGCTTGTAGGCATCTAATTTAATGGCCTCACATATATAAAATTTTATAAAACTTCAAGGTGAAATAGGCAAATACAAAAATAATTTTTAAAAAGATATTTCAATACTTTTCTACATTATTAGAAGATTAAGCAGTTGAAAATTTTGCAAGATGAGGAATTAAACACTTTGAAAATTTAACAAATTAATATACCCTGTAGTCTTATCAAAACTTTATAAAAGGCAAAGATATTGGTTACCTACTGCTGATCAACAAATTACTCCAAAACCTAGTGGCTCAAAATAACACCCATTTATTATATCACATTTCCCATGGGTCAGATGTCCATGTTTTAACTACCTCTGTCTCATGGTCTCTGAGGTTGCTATCAGAATGATGCCTGGGGCTATGGACTCATCTCAAGGCTTGATTTGTAAATGGCCCACTCCCAAATCTCTCATGTAGTTGTTGTCAAGATTTAGTTCCTTCTGGCTGTTGGACTGAGTGCCTCGGTTCTTCCTGGTTGTTGGCTGGAGGCCTCCCTCAGTACTTTGCTATAGATAGACCTTTTCATAGGTAAACTGACACCATGGCAACGGCTTCATTCAGAGCAAGCAAGAGAGAGCAAGAGGAGACTGGAGAGAGAGAGAGAGAGAGAAGCTATAGCAATTGTATAACCTAATTTCCAAAGTGTCAGTCATTACTTCTGTCATATTCTACTTGTTGGAAGTGAATCATCTTCAAAGCAAAGGGATTGCATAAAGGTGTGAATAACAGTAAGTGGTAGTCATTGAGGGCCATTTTAGAGGTTGCTTAGCATAGGCAGTAAACACAAGATACAGGACAGTAGTTTGGGGTGGGGAAAAGCAGGATTATAAGAGGAGCCTAGATTAGGTACGGCCATGTTGGCTTGGCATATTTCTGAACTGGATGATTAAAATTTAGGTGTTCATTTTGGTAAGCTTTTAACTTTATAAATATAATACTATTTTTTGTATGTATAAAATACATATTTTTTTTCAAAGTGAAAGTTAGTAGTCATCTTCTGAAACAAAACAAATCTCTACCTATTAAAGACTAACCCTTAATAACTTTAGTTCCTTCTAAAAATTAACCATTGCATTTAATCTTACATATGAGTTTTGGTGAAGGTCACTTCATCCCTGCACACCTCATATTATATATTAAAGATTATATATATATATATATATAATTATATATATATATATATATATACAATGAATAATGTGTTTTAATTTTATCTTTAAAGTAAAATGTTCATAAATTCATTTTAAAGTATCATTAATTCAATCCTTTAGAGCTACCAAATTTTTCACATTAAAGGCACTCTACAAACTTACAAGAAGAAAAATTATTTTGTAGTATATTTGCTTTCATAAATTTAGGCAAATGTGAGCTTTGTGCTTGAATTATTCAATAAACTTAACTCTGCTGTAAATGTGACCTCTACATATTAGAATTAATGCAAACAAAAGAACTTAGTTCCATCATTTTGATAAGTAGTGTATTTCTCTCCCATCTATCCCCTTTCCTGGTGTTATCAGAAATATAGTTTGATAACATGAATCAAGCTAAAAACATTAGCCTATGACTGATTACCTGTCCAGTTTGGCCTCATATGAAAATTCTGAGCAATTAATTTTAATCTTATGATAACACTCATGGGACTCTAAACCATTCTCAGTTTAAGTACAATGGTTTCCAACTTAAATGCATATGCAATAATGAGTTAGCAAAATCTTTTGCTCTGAAAAAAGTATAATTATAAGTTTCACAAGTAAAATTTCACAAATAACATTAAATTTTTAATTAAATTATATAGCCCTTTTTTAGTTAAGAAAAACTAGGCAGTGGTTCTTTGATTTTCAACGCATATTATTCTGAATGTCTCTTAATTGGTATTTTAAGAAAGCTGCATTTGTGGAGGCAAATGGGAGAGTCTACAAAAATACAAATACAAAAATACAAATACAAAAATAATTTAAGACCACTATAAAATTTTAAGCACTACAAATATATATGAAGTGTTAAGTAAAATATACCTAAATCAACCCACAACTCCTAATCCCACTTCCCTGAGGTAACACATTTAAAAAATTTGATGTCTAACTTTTTAGAAATTTTCTGTTATTAAAAATGTATATGTGTTTACACAAATGGAAGCACATACATATTGTCAATTCAATTATTACATAATAGCTAAAGAATTCACAACAGTATGCCAATTTCAACTCAAATAAACAGCTTAAAAATAGTTTTAAATATTTTATCTATTTTAGCATAAAAGCCATGATATGCTAGTGTAAGAAGTGTTTACTTTTCTCTGACAGTTTTATACATATAATAAAGAATTTGCTTTTAAAAAAATAATGAGTAGCGATTATCTTAATTAATTATAATGTGGCTTTTACAAAGAGCTTGGGGCCTAATTAGTAAAAATCTCATCTGTAATAGTTTCAGCATGAGTAGTCCATCTGAAGTTACAAACTGATTATTCATTTTGGTGTCAACCATGCTTTTCATTTTAGTTTTCCCTGAGGGCAGGGGAACCTAACTCTAGCAAGTTGTCTCAGTGGTGCTTAGTGATATGGACTGGCAGAGCCTGTAATCTGTCTGCTTACATAGGTTGGTAAAGGAGTTTTGTGTTTTAGTGGAAATGCAGTATTTACCCACTGGGAAGGCTATAATGATGTTTAAACAATTAGAATAGCAATTTTCTCTTAAAAGTTTGGTTTTACAGTGATTGGAATGTTAGGTCATCTAAGCAGAGCACCACCTAGTGCTCCGTCTGGCATCTTCGTTTTCTCATTTCAGGAGAAAAAAACACGAATGTATTTCTTGGCTGCCTTCTTTTTAATGTGAACCTAAGACTGGAAGTTTTTTGAAATGTATTATGCATCAGGACTTTATCATTAACTGTAAACTGCCTTTAGGCCGCTCTAGCCCATCACCCTTCTTGATTCAACCATATGGCTCTAGAAAAATCTCTCTGCAGAGCCAGGCACACAGCCATACGCCAACCCTCAAAATGAGCAATTCAGGTTTTATGTTCTGGAAGTACAAATTTCCATTTCCTACAGCTATTTCTTCTTTGATGGGGAGAAAAAGAAAACTGAAAAAAATTTTTTTCAAAGGATGTGTCCGACTCTTGTGAGAGATGATGCATTTTCTCTGTGAAGATGCCCACATTTTTCACCAAGCTCTGCCGCTGCCCTTGTAATTTTTTCCTGGATTGATACATCCTACTCTTTCATGTAGGCCAGTGTGTAGGAAATGAGGTGGTCAGACTATACATATCGTCTCTAATGCTTTATTTATTTTTCACTAGAAATGGCTGGACTCTTTGATATGAAGAGATGGATTTCAGGTCAACTCAAAAGAAAATATTTGCTTTTCTCACAAGAAGGGATTTTTAAAATCTTATCCGTTTCCACAGTCCTCAGAAATTGTCAACCATCAGTTAGTAAGTAGCAGAAAATGCTGACATGGCAAACAGCAGTCGGAGTAGGGGGTTGAGCCATCCAGCAACTGCCATCTCCATTAACTAATATAAGAGACATCATCAAAGTCATCCCTGGAAATGAAGGACAGGTCTTGGTGGCTAAAAACACAGCTTGGGGCCATGGAAAAGGAAACCCTAAGAATTCCCTAATCAGAACCCTCAACCTGAGAGGAACATTTTAGCTCAAGCAATGTTGACTCAAATCAGTGAAGGAAATGCAGATTAAGATCCTGAGATCCTAGAATGAGAATCCAAACCAGATCAAAAGAATATTGCTAGACCACACTAGCAAGGATTACCACCAATTCCTTGGTGAGGGCGATTGAAGCTGAATAGCAGAATTCACTCTATATATGTTTGCTCTCTATCTATATCTATTTATCTAGCCTTTGTAAATTGGGATTATTCTTATTATAATGTTTGTGTCCAGGAAGTTTTCTTATTTTTTTCAAGTTCATAGTGTCTCAAGTCAAAGGCTGTCCATGCACAAGGTGTATAGCTAGAGGGACCCTAATTACTACAGACAAAATCATGGTGCCAAAAAGGAGCATATTTAGGAGAGCATTATCCTTTACAAAGACTTTTTCTCTCAGGGTCTGCTACCTCTTGACTTATGATTATTTGTTAATGACAAGGAAAAAAGATATAATTTTGAAATAACTGAAAGTATTGGCTGTTTTAATTGACAGAAATTTCCAAGTTCAGTGTATATATGAAAAACAAAAGGTTTCTGTTTACCCTAATTCCACTCACAACAGCTTTAATCTCATATAGGTTAAATTACCAGGTCTTCAGATGAAAGTAACATCCTTTAGCACAACAGGAATTAACTGCACTCAGCCAAGTGGCTACAGTTACTGCTTAATCACTAGGTGTAATGAAGACTTACTTCTAGGCTCAAAGAAAAGACTCATGTTGTGTTAATGAAGGATTTTATTTTTGCAAAAAAAGTCATGCTTGCACTACATATTTAATATGCTTTCTTACCAAAGTAGTAATTTTGCATTTCTGGCCTGTTACCTGGGAACTGAGTATCTAGCACCACCTGCAGGCAAAAATTTGCTAATTTCACAAAAGATTTACAACTGAGGTTAAAATTGTTTCCATATGATGAAGGGGGGTATCCTTATAATAAAAATATAAATTGAAATGCTATCTAGTTTGTCCTCCTCTTATTCTACCAGAGCGTCCACAGTGGCTCTTTAGGGCGTACTATGGGCTAGGACGTGGTCTGCCTCCGGCTACCCCACTCAGGCGGGCAGGACCACCTTCTGGTCAGGCACAGGGGCCACAGCAGCTAGGGTCGAAAATACCTTTAAAGTATTTTAAAATGTTTTAATTTCTTTTAAAGTCATCAGAAAAAATGAACTCCTAGATCAAAGAAAATGTTTTAATATATGTTGTGAATATCCCAACCTATCTTGTAGAATACCATTTTTAATGTTTTTTTGTTTTGTTTTGTTTTTATCCCCACCCGAGGACATTTTTCCATTTTTTGTTCAGGTAGAGTTGGAGGGCGAGAGAGGAACAGAGAGAGACAGAAACCTCCATGTGAAAGGGACACATCCAGTGGCTGCCACCCGCACGACCAACCAGGGCCGGGGACAAACTGCAACCAGGTACATGCCCTTAGCGGGAACTGAACCGCAGGCCGACGCTCTAACCGCTGAGCCAAACCGGCCAGGGCCCATTTTTAATGTTTTTAAGTGGAGGAAGGGGCCTGGGAAGACACAGTGCTTAGAGCCCACAAAGGTCTTACTGGCAGGCTGATTGCTCAATGCTAACAAACCAGGAAGAGTCAAGAGACACAAGCAACATAATCCTTGTAAATTACTTAGATCAGAGCTTGGCACACATACAGCTAGAAAATGTGTCCTTATATGCCAGCTGCTTTTAGCCTTTTTAGTCTGGTTCTAAAATTTATGTTCACTTATCTCATCTTCTTTTTAACTCATATATTATTTAATCAATGTTAGTGAAAAATAAATTCTTTAATTAGAGAAAAAGAAGCAACGATATATAATAATTATCGGGAAACCTAAATGAGGGAGTCTGTCATCAGTTCCTAGGGTGGTTTCTACTGACTTATATTTAGCAACAAAAAACATACAATAAAATCTGTATATTGGGTTTTTATTAGATGACATTCATTATAAAAAATTATTTCTAATAATCTCATTTTAAGTTTTAAATTACCCAGCAATCCTATGATATAGTATTATTTATTCCTTTTTTTTCGTTCTTCACCCGAGGATATTTTTCTATTTATCATTAGATAGAGTGGGAAGGAGGGAGAGAGAGAGACAGAGAGAAACATCGATGTGATAGAGACATATCAACTCATTGCCTCCCGCACGACCCAACCAGGGCCAGGGATGAATTGGAACCCAGGTACGTGCCCTTGACTGGAATCAAACCCACGACTCATTGGTCTGTGGGCTGACACTCTAACTGCTGAGCCAAGCCGGCCAGGGCAATGTGTTATTTATTTCCCTCCAAATTAATTAAATATGCAGGGAAGTGAAGCTCTGTGCAAGTACACACACACACACACACACACACACACATTCATATATATAATCAACTCATAACATGGATTGAAAAGATAAGGGGGAAGAGATAGTCAAGTAAGATCCTTTATCAAGTGGTTGTGATCCATTAAAGTTAATGAAAATTCTTGGTTTTAAAAAAATAATAAGCGATACTATGCCATTAAAATAAATAATAGTCCTCCATTATAGACAGATGTGCATTTAAATACAAACAATGCAATATGTAAGCATCAGGATATTAAATAATTAGACTTTTCTGTCCTCTGGCATCTTCATCTGTAAAGTGGGGATAAATTTCCCTATTTGTAAATAGTTTTGTAAGGTATAAATAATTAATATTGTTTTAAATCCCTAGCATTGTGATCAATACATTTTAGTTTTCTTTCCAAAAATTAGCCCGATAATTCAACAATTGCATAATTGATCTATTTGTAATCAAGAAAAACACTTCTGATTCTCCTAATGTGCTACTGAGTGGTGTATGAAAATAAAGTGGATGTTGACAGGTTATAGCACCACACCTAGCACTGTCCTTTGACAGATATATTTATTCACACAAGTTTTAGTTTATCTGCCTTAAATAAATTTACGAAACCCAAAATACTAACAACTTCCTTTGAGAAGCATGGTCTGTCTAGAATTACCATAATTATTCAAGAATAAGAGCTCAGTCTGGCATACTTATTTTGCCTCAATTAATTTCAGCATCACAAAAGCTAAGCTGTGGAACTATGGCATACTGGGAACTTCCAATGTTCAGACCTGTTGCATGCCCAACTCAGAACATGAACTTCCCCATAGTCCAACACACAGTCAGCTCCCCCCACCATATGACTCTGCTGGCCCTGTTCATGGCTGATTACCCAGGGATGGACACTGGCTTAAG